ATGATTGCTTATTAGACATTTAATGCACACATGAGATGCATTTAATGCTGGTAGGCTTTGCCGCCAGTTAGATGCCATAGGGTGGCAGGCTATGACTGCTTGTCCAATCGCCAATGATTACTCTCCAAGTGGGAGTATTATATCACTATCCAGCCCCGCGTTCTTCTCTGGAGCGACCGTACTGAAGTTCCAGGTCGGCTCACGAGCATGTTGTCTTCTTCTGGTCTCAGGGACGTTCTTTTCAGATTGGCACTTTACGAGGTCGGCATTGTCGCTGGACGAAGCAAGTGCCGGTCTCGGTTGTAGCATCAAACGGACGTGGCCGTTACTTCAATTCGGGATTCAACTCGGCACTTTGCTCCATAGACCGGGTTTTAGGCCCGACTTTTATTAAATTGTCCATCCGATCTGTTCTCGGCAAACTCGGATGTCAACACTACGATCATCCAATGAAAAATGTTTGAGTTATCAACAAATTTATCATCTATTTATGTTGGGCCATGCAAATATTTCTAATACTTTTTTTTTTTATTCACAATATATTCAAATCATGAAAAGGGGCATGTGGTAATAATATACTACTAATTATACTTCATTAATCATGTTTTAGGTGACAAAGCATGTTTCATCAATAGGAATTTTTATAAAGTAAAAATAAAAAGTAAAAAAAAAATAAAAATCTGCTGATATTTCTTCTTCTTTACCATGAATGAATCTTTACCATGTAAGGGAAATGGAAATCACCCGACAAGCTTTCATTGCTTGTAACAAAGTTTGAAATATGTAGAAAATCATGTCAAAAAAGAAGATTCACACAAATTGAAGCCCAAAAAAGCAATTATTTTCATGCAATTAGCTTGCTTCAATTATTGACTTTGTTGGCCGCTTTTGTTTAAAATTTTCCATCTTAAGTAATTTGTGTATAGTAATAGTGTGACCATGATTATTATGATTAATTATAAAAGCAATTGTCAATGTTTTTTAACGTTCAATTGGACATGAAAGAACGTGCATTATTTGTGGCCCATGCTAAATTATGAGAAATTAAATAAAACATTTCAAACATATTAATAAGTCCAATAGGTGACATATATATATGCAATAACTAAATTCAATAGTAGATTAATTACAACTTAGGTACGAGATATTAGACAAAACGAGGCCAACTATAAGGAATTAATGATATTAACACACAATTTAGAATACACAAAATTTGGTTTGAGCTTGCAAATTCACTAATTAAATAAGAGTTAATTGGATTCTATATTTTGTGTGATGCTGCCCGGTCATTACTGAGTTGACTCGTCATACTTTTTTTTAAAAAATAATAAGTATAAAAATATACATGAAACGTCATACTTATATTTATATAATTATGCATTTCGGATTAAAAGTAAGTATATATGACGAAAATGCACATGAATATCTGACACTTAATTTTGGTTAACAATAGCCTTATTGTTTAGAATATTATTATTGTACATTTTCTTATATACAAATTTTGAATTTTATGAAAACATATTGTGAGTCATTTTGTGGTTTTGTTGTGATTGTTTAGTGGAAACTCCTAAAGTCGAAACAATATTAAAGTCAATAAATATTACAAATATCTATGATGCCCATAAATCAAAAATTCTACGGAGCCATCGGATGATTTTTTTTATGAAGTCATTCATCACTTAATGTATTGACACATGTCCAAAGTGTATTTATTGTAGGACACGTGTCAATACACTGTTTGAGGTTAACTGTAGATGACTCAATAACTCGAGTCATCTGATGACTCCACAGCGAGAGTGGCCCACAAATTTTCCTAAT